TGGGAACCTCCTGGGCCTGGCCCGGCCGTGCCGCACGGGTGGGGGTGTGGGACGGCCTTACCGCGGGTGAGCGGGAAGAGGGAGAAGAGCTTGTGAGACCATGGCTCCCCCCGTGTTTGGAAATATAACGAGCTCATTCATGGACTGCTGATACCTATCCTGATCCCTGCCCTGGTCTGTAATTTCAATATGGAGAGTTAGTCACTTTTATCATATGTCATGCTTAACGAAAATGCTATAATAACATAGCTCCAGGATTGGATTTCTTCCTATCTGCGTGCTTCTACACAAAACCACTAACGTCAAGTATGACATAAACTGATAAATCCACTAAAATTGCACTGCTGACTAAACTTTCTCCTTTTTGTTTCCAGAGATAATCTCATGACTGATGTCTATGGTGCTAACCTTTACAATCGCTATCTTGAAGAGAACTCCAGAAATGGTTCCAAATTTCGGATTCAGGCCACAGTCGCTGGTGGCAGAGGATCTGCTGCTCTCTCTCAGGAGGATGAAATCAACAACAGCTGGGAGAATGAATTGCCCCAGAAGGAAACGGTCGTGGTACACTGCAGCCTGCTCTGGCTCCTGCTCATCCTGCTGCTCAAGGCTTTTTTCCCTTTACGACCTGCAGGAGCTCCTGCACCCACATAACAAATTCAGCCAGCTTCTGGCAGGACCTAGTTGGGCCCGATTGCATTGGCCTTGGCATCTGAATGGGGGATTGGAGTGACAACAGGACTCCCTGTCTGTGGTGTTGTATCAACCCTTAATGCTGGCGATTATCTCATCCCCATCAGGATCCAGTCGTAAAAGTGCTGAGTGACGATGTAGACCCCCGGCTGCTGTGGCCTCGTGCAGCCTTTCCCCCAGCTGGTTACTCCGATCACCCACCAGTAGTCGTTGGTGTTGTCTTTGCACATGAGAGGACCGCTGCTGTCACCCTGCAGGGACGAGAGGGGATTATGGTGTTGCCTGGAGACTCACCAGGCAAAGCATGTGCCGGGGGTGTTTGGATGGCTGTGGCAGGGCTGCCGGTGCTGCTGCGGTGACCTGTAGCACACTCCTACTTGGCAGGTGTCGATGCCGCCCTGCGGATAGCCGGCACACAGGTTGTAGGAGTGGATGGCCCCTGCGCGCCACCAGCTGCTGTTACAGAGGTGACATCAATGAGCCGAACGCTGGCTTCCTGCAGCACTTCTGGACTTACCCCTACAGCTGTGGGCACAGAAAGGAATTGGCAGCCAGCAGCTCGGTGCCAGTACCCCTCCCCTGCCTGGGGGAACCCCTTCCCCAGGGCTTGGCTTTGCGTCTCCAGGGGCACTGTGCCGCGGTTCCCCTCTCTCTTGCCTTGGCTGATGGGTCAGGCCCATCTCTCTCCAGGCACACGTCCTCTAGCCTGACTCTGGCTTTGGCCTCTGCTGTTGGGACCCCCAACTCAACACCACTGGAGACATGAGTCCTGTTTGGGAACTTGCATCTCACCCAAAGAGCTGTTAAATATGCAGCGTGCAGGGTGGGGGGATCTGATGATTGACTGCACGCCAGCTGCTCTGTGCGGAGCTGCTGCAAGCTTCCCAGCCCATCTGAAGCCTCTCTGCCTTAGATGTGTCTGCTCCAGCTTCTGAAATGCTGTCTCGCAGCAGCCTCGCAGGGTTGGGGAGAGATGAGCCAGTTCAGCTCACTGACGAGAAGAATGGTTGTGATGTGTGTAGATCTCCTGTGTCCGAACTATTCCCCATTCCTAGAGAGTTCAAGGAAGGGTTCCTAGAAATGCAACCAACGAGTCCCTAACACACGTTTGTTATATGCGTTTATAATGAGCAACTAAAGAACTGTCAAGGTTGTTTTCCACAATAAATGCATGTGACTGAAAGAGACCTGTTAATATATTTTATTTTGCTACACACCTGTACAAATGACCAGGCAGCAAAGATCAGAGCAGATTTTTTTTTTTTTCCAGAATGTGTTTTTCCCCCCCACGTTCCCTTTGGTGACTGGTTTATCCTGTTCATGTTTTCGGGGAGGGGGGACAGGGCACAGGGGTGTCCTCTGGCCCTGTGGTGGCCCCATCTCACTCCCCCATGGGTCAGAGCTGTGTTCTATCTGAAGATGCCCCAGGACGTGGCTGTGGAACCAGTTGGACACAGTGGTGCGTCCCCTCTGCTCTGGAGATACCAGGAGAGCTGATCAACAGCAGACAGGCAGGTGCCAGGGTCCACACAAGGTGACGTGTGACGGCCCGTCACTGGTGTGTGCTGTGACAGCACAGGCTTGCTTTTGAAGGCCGTGTGTTTGCAGGGTTAGAGAGAACCTGTTACATTCTAGGAGTGTATGATAACAATGGCATTATTTACATAAATGAAACCTAGCTTTGCATAAAGTGTTTAATTTTGTTTCATATCACAGCCTTGGGATTCACAACTTGCTTTTCCCTTCATATTTTTTGGGCAGGTTTTTGTTTTCCCCACACAGATTTAGACACCGTACTGTAGATGTGCAGAACACACGTGAAGTACCTGCAACACCAAAGGTCAGTGCCTCCAAAGAGCAGGTAAATGTCAGCCAGGACACTGGCATCGTTCCTCTCTTACACCGATTCTCTACAGCTCTGCGCACACCAGTGACATGTACAGTTACATCCAGAATATTTCAGGAGCAGAGAATGTGCCTTTATCAGGAGAATTAACTAATGAATTCAGCTGTACCCAGCACTCTAAGGAACCAGCTTTAGAGCACAGCCATTTCACAGAAACCACGGATTGCTGCCTTGGTGTCTGAGGCTGTCACTGCAGTAGCAGACTGAACAGGTCTGAATGAGACAGACCAAGTCACTTGGTATTTGGCTCCTGTGGATCAAAAATGCTCATCTACTGATGTCAGTTAAGAAGCCAAGCAAAAAGCAAGGAGTGTTGCTTTGTTGAATTGACAGCAATGAAATAAAATCCAGGATAGAAATGTTCTTCTGGGAAAGTACAGTTGTAACTCCATGTTTACACTTAATTGTAAGAACTGGAAAAGTTATTTGCACTTCTCCAACGCTGACAACTTTGGTTTTCATTCTGAATCTGTTGGCCAGCTCTGCTGGAAAGGTGACGAATTTGAAACCATCAAATGCACATGCAGTGATGGAAGCAAGGGGCAGCTGTAAGGATAAGAGGAAGAGAGTTCAGCACCATTAAGCATGTTGGAGCGTATCTTATGTAAAAGTAGACCACACAGCACTGTAGAAGAACAGCATACATAATTTCCTTCAACTTGATTTTGTTTCAGATACTAAGCCATGGCAAGGTACATGCATAAAGTAACCACAAAAGATATTGCCAAATGTTTACTTTAATTAACCATTTTGAATGATACAATACAATGTATCCACTACTTTGCTAAAATTCACAACAAAAAGTAGGTTTCATATGTTTAAAAAGAGTTTTCATAATAAATTCATAAATAGATGAAGGTAAAGCATAAAAAAATTCCTGTAGTGTGCAAGCTTGCTCCCTTGTCTCCTTACAGTCCAAATGATCCACTCAGTATTGTGATAAGAAAGTTTAAAAGCAAAGTAGTTGCTGAGGAGTAGAAATGTGCAGCCTGCATCTCTTGAAGAAACCTTGAAAAACAGCAACAGATTTGTCCTAGACAATGCAGAATAGCTTTAGCGCTGTTGTCATCCAAACCCCTCTGTAATTTTGGAATGCAATGAATGAATTCAATATGAATTAGAGATTTTTATTTTCTCCCCAAGAGGTGTGTGAGCCAGACTCACCCGCATGCTCTAGTCGCTGGAGCTGTGGGTTTTCCATCTGTCAGCTATCAGGGGGTGAGGCACAAAAGAGGGAAAAGCTGGCTGACAGCACTGAGCATATCCCTTCAATGCAAAACCCATTCAAGTTTTGTGCTTTTTTGCAATGGTAACTCGATGTTTTTGAAGATCCTAGTAGGCATCTGTCTGCAGCTTTAATGTCTCGGAAAATTAAGCGCTTAAGTCACTTTTTAAAAGTACCTTCAAATTGTCAAGCCCAGTTTGCATGCTGTGTTAAGGACAGTCTTTTATACCCTTGTTTTCACATACAGTAGGTCAGGTACCCAGAATCACTCCCTCACATCCTCATACGAGATTATATGGATCAGAGAGTTTATTGCAGAAAAACAGGTGTCGATCATGGCATGTTCTACAGCACGGTGCAGCCTAACAGGCTCTTAGCAGCTCCTGGAAAGAGACTGGCTTTCGGAAGTATGCAGACGATGTTGGGCAGGTGCCTTAAAAAGACAATTTGTAAGGAAATAGTTTTCCATTTAATGTTTTCCCCTGCTTTTATCTGGAGAAGGCAATGTTTGTGTCATAAGGGTTTTTTTTATCAGTAAGGAAATAGTTTTCCATTTAATGTTTTTCCCTGCTTTTATCTGGAGAAGACAATGTTTGTGTCATAAGGGTTTTTTTATCGTATGTAAGGTACTTTCCCTAAGATTAAATTTACAGAAACTCAGATCCTTTTAGGAAGCTGTTACATCTGAATAGCGTGTACTTTAATAGGTCTGAGTGAGTGTATGGGGGAATGAAGGTTTAAACTCCTGCAGAGCAGTCAGTGATAAGGTGTATGGCGTAATATAGGTGACTGCTGTTCTTAGTATCCTCGGCTTTAAAATTACAGTCTATAAATGTAGGATTCTTTTAATGTTATGTTTATGGCAAAAGAAAATGATTCTTTATGGCAGAAAAAGAAGAAAATCACTCGTAGTAGTTTAGCTGTAGTAGCAAATTTTGAATGGGCTCGGTGAGCCTTAGACAGAAGGGGCTTGAACAGAAGCAGCTTTGTGGAGCTGCTACACCTGCCCGATACCTTCCCCTGACCTGCACTGCCTCCGCGGGTGAATGGTCACAAAGCTGGGCGTGATTGATGTCGGAGTACGGTGTTTTATACACACACGTAAGAAATACTAAGTAACTGTCACAGGAGCAAGGGATTGACAGCTATGCATCTGCAGAAACCTGTTGGTTATCATTTATCTGGTGGCCCTTCAATGGTTTGTGATAGGAAGATTAATCCTCAGTTTTCTGTTAAATTCGAGGTTGAAAGAAGGTAGAATCAGTGTCAGCAGTTCACCTGGATAATTGAATTGGAAATAACTCAAGTCTTAAAAATATCTTGCAAAAGAAACATGGAAAGTTACTTTTTTAATAATAAAAAGAGCCTAAATAAATTTTTATCAAGGTATGAGCTTGGATTTTCTAAAGGTTTTCTAATGGTGTCCTGGGGGACAGAGACATACTTTTTACATCATAATGGCAGGAATAGGCTCTAAACACAGCTTTAAGCCCATTTAACAGCTCTCCAAAAGTTAAACTATACACCTACCTAGTTCAGCTGTCCACTCTTCTTCAGTACAGACAGCAGGCAAATTTCTGTCTTACAAAAGGCAAACAGGAAAACCCGTCACTATTTGTGCAGTGTATTATTTTAACTTTGGGAAGGAAAGTATTTTAACTGAGTTAGCATTGATTAAACCTAACACATTTAACGGGACTAAATAGAAAATCTGCTGTGACTGTTACTCAGGCTTCACTTTCCTCGTTCTTGTGAAGTTATTCTGTTTCCCTGTTTTCTGCTGGTTACTGACTCATATGGAAAAACAAGACAATGGTTGACCCTGTCTTCAGTGATGGCTGAAGTTAAGAATGTAATACAGGTAACTGCCTTTATCAGTATTCAAGTAATAAAAACCCATGTTAAAAGATACAGTGAAAAAAAATTGCAACCCTTTTGTGCTTCAAAGAATTATTTTTAAAGTGCATTTTAACATTTTTCAGTCATATTAAAAAAAAGCTATCTAAGATCAGGACAGGAGAGTATGCTGGCTGTTTTTATCTAACCTCTGGCAGCAGTTCCGTGGACAGCAAATATACATTTAGGTCGGTTAGTTCACTTTGATTTTGTAACCCTGCTCTTTTCCCAGTAAACTAAAATGAAATTATAAGAAAGATGCAGAGGGCTAGACTTGTGTTGGAAATCAGAACATCTAGTGGAATAGTCTGCGATTTTTTTCTGAAGTACGCAGTGGGGATTGCAATTAAATGCTTCCATCGGAGATTTTTCGCTGTTTTGAATAGCTCTATAACCCAATTCAAGAGTTAAAAGCAATCTAACATTAACTGGCCAGTAAAAACTAAGATAGCCAGGAGGCTGGTTCTCAAGTGGGGTGGTCAGCACCAAAAGATACTGCAAAAATAAAACAGACAGTATTTCCCAAATCTGTTAATCTCTTCTTGCAGTGTGGAAAACAACTGTCAAATCTGAGAACAGCCCAATTATGAAGGAGTCTGCTGTGTGACTCTGAAGTCACTGTACTTCATACAACTGTAATGGAACGTAACTGTGGGTTAACAATGTGGCAGGCATCTTTTATTGCGAAATTTGTGACTGTAGAACGCCTTTTAGTTGCTGAAGCAGCCTAGTGTCATTTGGGAAAGGACAGCGAAGTGGTTAGGGTGATCAGCCTGAACTTTGGGATTCATTTCCGTTCAGTTCCACCTGGAGCTACCCGTGTCCTGGGATCTGTTTGTTGGTCTTTAATGGCCTGGCTTCCTGTACCGCAAGGGTGGGAATACAGAGTGCCATCATCAGCTACTGGGGCACAGCGAGCCGTGCAGGAACTGCCTCTTCACAAGAGAGCACACCACCCTGGCTCCAGTTCCCCTGCCTTTCCCTCTCCCTGGCCGCATGCTCTGCCTGCAGCCTGTTTCTGTGCATGTTCCACAGAGAACGACTGCCGGGGGTTAGACCGAGTGCTCTCCACGGCCGGAAGATACCAGAAGGGGAGGAACTTTATTTCCAGTTTCACAAAGCATGTGTCGTTAGCACGTCACTTTCCTCCAGCACGCTCTTTACACAAAATTATGCAACGTGGTGAACTTCAGTGGTCTGTTAACACAGAAATGCTTTGGAAGCAGGATAGGCAAAGAGAAACGGCTTCTATTAATGAAAGAACATATAAATCCATCTTGCTTTAAAGAGACTGTCATTGTAACATTGAGTAAAACAATCCTGGGAAAATTAATAATGTTGTTACCTCCCGGTTCTCTCAGGACTGGCATGAGATAGCAAAATACATTCACATGGTCAACGGTCTGGGGCTACGGGATTAAATAACGGAGGTGTAAAGCTTAGTGGGATAATGGGACAAACCAAGGAAAGGCTTTAATGTTATTTAAGGGTACTAGAGCGTATACCTAATGTACTAGTAGTGCAGTAATGCATGGATATTGCACATGACAGTCAGCTCTATTTTTCAGATAAATATGGTCTTCTTTAAAGGCAAAGAAAAAACTGAGACAGAGCTCCACTCCTCCTGACGTTCTCAGAAATCTATTCAGTATTAGTTGGGCTTCGTTTAGTTCTGTAGTCCCCTGTGTCCTGCCCCCCCCAAGTGAGCTGCTTTCCAGTATAGTGAGAGTGATAAAATCATTATGACTTTTCCTCTCAAGTATTTTCATTTTTTAAAAATTTTGTTTTGCAAAGCACATGTTAGCAGGTTTCTGGGCTAACATTTATTTAATATTATATTTACATAGGTATAAATATTTGTACAAATTCCATCCACGATGATGGACTGGATGAGTGACTGGAGGTAAAATCAGCTTACAGCAAAATCTAGAGAAAGGGTAACAATGCCCACGCTCCTGCGAACCACATTCTGCTGGTGATTCCATTTCAGTATTTGCCTCTGCATTCCACTCCTAAGTGCTACAAGGCAGGGATCAATGTCCCCCGTTGTGTTCCTGTAATATTTTGCACACTTTGGGTACTGCCAGAAATCAATGATGGGTACTAACGCAAACCCCTGGTCAGCCAAGGAGACCTGCTTAAAAGCAATGACTGCACCATAGTCCTGTTAATGTTCAACTGCCAGCAAACAGGTTTCCTGGCAAATGTGCACGCTGTGAACTCTGATCAGGCACTACTCAATTATTCACTCAATGTACATCAGAGCACGGCTGTAACCTACGATTTGAAACTGAGGTTTTTACCCGTAAATCTCACGTTTATTGTTACTCTCTTCATCCAGTTATCCCTTTGGTCTCAGTAGGATCAGTGGAACTAAACCAACAGGACTGTCCTAATATATGAATTACACAGCTATGTCTGTGAACTACGGATTCAATAAAAGCCTTCAGAAAAGGAGTGAAAAGCTCTAAGTTACATTTACTCTTTAATTTTAATTTCTGGCCAAGAAGCTATCAGCCTAGTGAGTACTGTGCTGCTAACAGGGAAAGACAGGGTTTGGTAACACAAACAGCCTTTCACTGCTGACAGCCCTGTCGTTCATATCTGCTGCTAACCTGAATACAACAAACCAGCTCTTCGGTCTCCTTCTTTGCTCCCTTTTGTTCAGTTAGGTAGGGCACACTAACTTGTATTACAGTGGTTACAACATGGAAGAGCCACGAGTCAGACACCAAAGATGACCTCAAGCCATGGTCTTAGTTTTCTACAGCAAAATGAAAACTAATCTGAATGGGTACCTTCATTTGAGAAGACAGTGAACAAACCACTGAGGATGTCTTTCATGTTTTCCAACGGAAACAGACTAACCTGCAGACAAAGTCTCAATCTTCAGAGATACATGGGGGAAATCATAAGGAAAAGTACACTGCTTGGTCTAATTCTACTTGTTTATTCAACAAACCTCAAATCCAAGGAAATGTATCAATGATTCCTCATTTCTCCATCTCCTGTAAGAACACAACCATTCTCTGGAAGCAGGATTTATGTT